CTCTCTCTCTCTCTCTCTCTCTCTACTCTCTCTCTCTCTCTCTCTTTTTTTTTAGTGGAGGTTGGGCATCTAGTACTACAGAATGTAGTGGTACCATAGTTTCAAAAAGCACTAGGCGGCACCCAAGCGGCCATGGGGTCCAGGCTGCCCAAAGCCTAGGCGGCCCGCCTAGGCAATCGCCCAGAACCTGGGCAGCCCAGTTATAAAAAAAAAAAAAAAACTGATGAGTGACTGATGACTGATAATGATTAATCCATAAGAATTTTTATAATCCATAAGATCATAATCCCAATTAAAAAAAAAGATAGCAGTTGAGAAGAGAATTTTGATAATCCATAAGACCATAATCCATATTTTCATACAATGCTAAAACAGTAAAACCATACAAGTATACACTGATAGTCTGATACACTGTAAACTGTACACACAAAAGTTAGATAGTAGAACTAGAAAGTAGAAACTAAAAATAAGAAAAATAAAATATACAGAAATGCAGAAAATATATAGTCTAGGATACAATAGTCAACACTCAACACCAAGAGTCTTCAGTCATCATTATTATCATCCTCATCAGAAGGAATAAGGTCAGCTTCATCATATGCATCAGAATCGAAGCCATCATCATCAGAGTCATCTCCCTCTTCAATATAATGCTTGTCCTCCTATGTTTCTTCTGAATCTGCCTCTTCCTCCTCTTCTTCTACCTCCCTCTTACTAGTATGTGCAGATCAGGCCCTAAGAGTCTTGGCTGCTTTACCCTTTTTTATCTTTTTGTGCTTCTCTAAACTCAAATATTGTATAATCTCCTCCCTGGTAGCCTCAGGAACAATTTTATACAGGGCAACATCCCCCTTAATACCGACAAGATGTCTTTTAAACCGGTAAATGCCCCCATTAGTATCCTTTCCACAATAATTACATTTAATACGATTTTTATCATTCGGATTCGAGTTATAGTCATACTTCCAACCCGGATCACCACTTCTAAAAGAACCTGGAGAAGATATTTCTGTTCCGTAGAACAAGGCTCATTTTCATCATTTTTTGGTTCTTTTAAATTCAAAAGCTGTCTAATCTTATCCCGAATAGCTTTAGGAACCTTTATACAAGAAGCAACATTACCATTAATACCAGTAAGGTGTTTCTTCAATTAGTTAATACCCTAATTGATATCTTTTTCACAAAAATTACACCTTATATAATTTTTATCATTTGGTTTTGGGTTATAACCATACTTCCAACCTGGATCGCCTCTTCTAGAAGTAGCAGAAATAGATTTATTCAAATGACACGGATTTTGTTCTTATTTTTGTTTTACAAAACTCATATATTGCTTAATCTCCTCTCTGATAGCTTCAGGCACATTTTTACAAGGGGCAACATCCCCCTTAATACCAACAAAATGCTTCTTAAACCCGTTTATTCCCCTATTCGTATCTTTTTCACAAAAATTGCATCTAATGCAATTTGTGTCATTTGGATTCGGGTTATATCCATATTTCCAACCCAGATCTCCACTTCGACTAGATCTTGAAGAAGACATCTCAAAATAAAACAAGCAATCTAAAAAATAAATTTTTGCACTTACTTTGATTGTTCGAACTCCAAACTCCCACCTCTGAGATGTTGTCTGGTGCTAAAATAATAAAAACACCTTTTAATAGGATTATAAAACTCCAAACTAAATCAAACCTACCTGGGTGATGTTTGGATCCATTTTCCGTAACTTTGAGAAGCACTTCGATCCAATTAAAATCAGAAAATTTAGTTTTCTTGAGGTTTATTTCTCTCTAAAATGGGCTATTGTGGATTTAAGTTTGAAATGAACCTAAAACCCATCCTTCAAACCCTTTATATTTAAAAAACAAATCAATACAACTAAAAATAAATAAAATTTTTTCGCATCTAGGCGGGACGCAGGCCGAGGGCAGGCCGCCCAGGGCTAGGCGCTGGGCACCCGCCTAGGCGGGTTCCGTACTGCCTCAGCGGCCGCCCAGGGATTGCCGCTCAATTTGTCCGCCTAGGCCTAGGCGCTAGGCAGTCCGCTTTTTTTAACACTGAGTAGTATCGGTAACATCTATTTTCATCTTAATGGATGACCTTATCTTCTCAATCATAGAAGCGCATGGGAGAGTTTTGGATCTTGTCCCTAGGGATATTCTTCCATATACTATTAAATAATAAGGGAAAAGTAGTTTTTTTCCCTCTAAGAGCCAAATAGGCACCATTTGGCAGTGTTTCCTACACAAGTGGATTCAAAAAGTGATGGGCACAAATGACTTGGGGTGGGATGCTCGCATGAGCAGGGGAAGTTAATAGCAGAAAACCCATTTGGTGGTCCATTGGCCATAAATGGGGAGAATGAACCGCCTTGATTAACCTTAGTACTGGTTTGGACTGAGGTTCCTGTATTTATACTTGAGATAGGGCTGCTGTCAAAAAGTAATACTAACTAAATTGCTCACACACACAAGGAAAGTGTGAGGCACCAAGAACTGAAGAATTGGTAATTTGGTTTTAAAATCTTTACGGTCCCTAGTTATGTCATAAAACAATATCTGCAATCACAACTTAAATCTTAAGTAATGAGTCTATGTCCCATAAGAAAATTGAAACAGTCTGTAACATGAGATTTCCTATGCAGATCACATGTGAATTTTGTTTTTCTGCAAAGAACAAGAAGAAGGGGCGCATGTGAATTTTGTTTTTCTACAAAGAACAAGAAGAAAGGGGTCAAATTTGCCAAGATTTCAAGTGCTTCCTACCTACCAAATTAATCCACTTGAATACATAAACTCAGATTTCTAGCTAGAGTTTCTTACACATCCCAAATTATTGACACCAGAAGTCATATATAACGAGCATGTAGATGAGATTTCATATATCCCTGGGTGGCAAGTCCAAAACTGGAAAATATACACTGAAATCTATTAACACGAAATCCAAAACTCAAGTTATATGCTATGTTCTATAGTTTCTACTACCCACACCAGAACAAAAGAAAAAAGAAATCGTGTCATCCAACAGAATTAAATGATCTCTTCGTTGTTGTTCACCTGGGACATCTCTATATTTTCAGCACCCTTTTCCCTCTTCCTTGGTTCCTTTTTGGCTACCTCTCACTTTTTGGTTCAATGGCTCCCAAGAAGGCACCACCCAAGTCTACTGAGAAGAAAGAGGGGGGAAGCTATGGTTCCTTTCTGTCAAATTCGATGATCCCCCCACTTCCTTACCACCCGTATTTCAAACGGTTTTTTGGGAGGAGAATTGGCCCGTAGAGTGCAGGGATTCCCTATTCTTCCAGAATGGTTCTGCGAATGGTATGATTCGACCCGACAATGCCAAGAATTAAGACCATTCATCATCTTTCAATTCCAAGGTGGGTGCCAAACTGTTTAGCGCAAATCTGGAGAGATCTCCTCCAATTCGTGTCAAATAGTTAAAAATGAATAAATCGATCGAAAAGTGGGGTCGATCGAATTACAATTTCAAAACTGATGCAGATCTAAGCAAATCTGACACGTCTAAATCTGCTGGCAACATGAGTAGAAATCTCACACCAAATAATTTTTTTTAAAACCAATAATGTAAACTAAACTGGAATAATCACAAATAAATCAAGAAATCAGAAAATAAATGAAATAAATAAAGAAGAAGAGAAAGCAATTTATGATGCAAATAAAAAAGTTATTTTTTAAAATTTTTATATTTTTCTAGGACTTAGAAAATATGCTATTTGGATTTTTAGTTTTCTTTAGTGTTACTCTTAACTTTTTTTAGTTGTAGAGATTTAAGCGGTAAAATTGAAAGCTTAGTTGTTTTTTAAAAAAATATGGATATGGATGATTATGGTTGAGTTGGTTACATTAGATTTGTTTTTAAGAAACAAGAGAGAAAGATTTTAGTTTTTTATTTTTATATTATTTTTATTTATTATTCCTTATAAGTTTGGATTTAAAGGGACGAGATCCCTTCTTTATAGAAAGTAATTATAGAATAAAGAAAGAGTTTGATCTTGTGAAAATATCTTGGGGGACTCCTTGCAGACCAAAAGGGTAATAATCTCTCAAAATTTTATTTTCGTTTTATTTTTTAGTTTATTATTTTCATCAACCATATTGGGATTAGGTTTTTGTGGCATTGCGATGACTGGATCTTAAACCGGCTTGGATACCAACTGATGTAGGACGAAAATAATAAACTAAAAAAAAAAAAAAAATAAGGGTTAAAGAGATTATACCCTCTGGGTTTGCAAAGATGTTTGCAAAGAAGTCTACCCCAAGGTCTTTTCACAAAATCAAACTCTTCCTTTATTCTCCAATTCTATCTACAAAGAAGGGATCTCTTCCCTTTAAATATAAACTTATAGGGAATAATAAATAAACAAATAAATAAATAAATAAATAAATAAGAAACTAAACTCTATCTCTCCATTTTCTTTTAACAAATCTAACATACCCTAACCACCTCAACCATGCTAATCCTTACCCATATCCATATTTTTTTTTAAAAAAAATTAAGCTTCCAATTTTACCCCTTAAATATCTACAGCTAAAAAAATCAAGAATGACCCTAAAAAAACCTAAAAATCCAAATAACATATTTTCTAAGTCTTAGAAAAATATAAAAATAAAAAATTTTAAAAATCACTTTTTTATTTGCATCACTTGCCGAAGACCCGAAAGCCAAAACCCGGAGTATCGGGCTCGAATTAGGCTGCTCTCATGCATACATTCTCCTTTTTGGATGCTTTTTGGAGAGCATTGAGTGGGAAGCACTATGGCTACAAAAATTGAAGGAATTAGGATTTCCCAACTAGGATTATTTCCTAAGATTTTTCCTATTTTCTTACAGTTTTCCCTAGGGTTTTAGGCAACTTTGGGTATTTGGGGATTTTTAGATTTTTTTGGATTTTTCTGAACTTTTTGGGAATTTTGGATTTTTAAGTATTTTCTAGACGATTTTCTAGGAATCCTATTAGCCAGAACTTTAGAGGGGGGTGTCCACATCTCTATACATCAATGTTCTTAAGATTGGATTGGACCTACCGGTCCAACCAGGAACAACTAGACGTACACCTCTGTGCACTGTGTGGCATGGGTGTCTAGCTCACCTACCCGTGATGTGTGCTAGGCACTGCAACTGTGTGGGTGTGCCTAGCTTGAGCTTCCAGCTGGTGGTGGCCATCATGATCCCTTCTTGTTGTAGCTTGCATGGGCTGCTTGGATGGCTATAAACCCCCTAAACTGGAATATTCATTGAACCGATGCCGAACCAACGGCCAGGCCAATTCCATGTATAGATCGACTGGTTCAACATTAAATGGGCCAATCTCAATATAGATCCTAAACGACCAAAAATAATTTTGAGATGAGTGGCCTTTTCATCCTTTGAGATATCTTCTAGGCCTAAGTTTATTACACCCTTTTTCTATTTGTTTTTATATTAAGAAAAGAACAGAAAAAATTCCTAATGTTTTGGGTTTTTACCAAAAATGATGTTTATTTTTTAAAAAAATCAAAATAGGTTGCTTCTTGTATTCAATTAATACATGTTTGTGCTTTAATAGTTTCATCTTGTATATAGATATTAGGTTTTATTGGTTTTTGTTTTATTTATTTTTACATTTTATTTTTGGTCCTTTAATACTTCAATGGAACTATCATAAGATATGGAGATATTGTGCGTTATAATTACATTTTGGTTCTATTTTTATATTTTCTGGTTTTTCCATATTTCAATTTTCTATATTTTACGGTTTGGCTGAGTTACTCAGGCATATTAAAATAAATAAACAAAAATAACATAAATTTGTGGGGGATCAATGTATTAGAATTATTCATGTAATTTGGATTTTTTAAAATGATTTATGAGTTTCACTTGTGGTATGCCTTATTATCGGATTCTCCTCTTCTGGTTTTTTATTTTTCTAAAACGCCTCCAACCGCAAATCAATTTTCTTCTAAATCCATATTTTATATTTTTTTCATCTTATTTGGATATTTAGGTTGTTTGTGGTTTTGTTCCAGCTCTTAATCTTCTTCTTCTTTTTCTTATCCTTTTAGCAAATTTTGACTTATTTTAAAAAAAAATTAGGCTTTTTGTGTCCTATACATTAGTCGGCCGACTCGGCTCAGATACTCGGCTCTGGCAAGGGCCAAGCCTAAGGCCGAGCTGGTTTTAAAAACATTGCTAGAGACATATGAAAAGGTCTGAATTATTCTGATCAACTTTCTTCTTTCGAAAAGTGGTATAATTTCCAAGAAAACAATTCATTCAATTAGAGAATGTGATCTTTCGCAGCCGTATTCATTTCTAGTACGCTAAACCCCAAACATTCATTGCATATATATGTCGTCCAAATACAGTCACCTTTCATTAGAAAAAAAAAAAAAAAACAGCCCTATCAAAATGGGTGAGGTGTGCACCTCTAAATTTTGCCAAAAGAAGTGTAGTTCGACCTTACTATTTGCTTGAAAATTTCTCTGAAAATTCCTCTCGAACCCTAATTATAAATTTAAAATTATAAAAAACAGGGCAGTTGGAGCAGATCTATAAACACTTGAAAATCTTTACCGGTCCAAATGGCTTAATCCCTATTACAAAATAGCCTATTTTTAGGACCTAACATATGATCAATTGAAAAGGTTTTCCAATTTCGGATAACTCTTTTTTCCAGGATTTTTGAGATGTACCTAACTTCTATAATATAAGGTTGCAACCTTATATAAACCTTTCCTATCCAAATAGACGCCGTGCCAGAAACAATAGTTACACTGGATAAAAATAGTGTTCATTGGAACTTGAATACTCCAAAGTAAGATATAATAGCTCCAAGATCCCCACGAATTACTTCATTTTCCCTTCATTTTATTTGAAATTTAGGCTTTTGCTTCCCAATGCAGCATCAAACCATAGAATCCGCATATTATCCTTGAACTTATACATATACATGTAATCGTCTTTAGAAAAAGAACAAATCAGCACTTATACATATATATGTAATCGTCTTTAGAAAAAGAACAAATCAGCAAAACACAGTAAAAAATAATAATCACACCAATTAATACACCTCATATCATGAACAAAATAAAAGAAACAAGAATATTCATTGGGAAAGGGACATAAAGAATACCATGATGAGCATAAATATAGGCAGTTCTCCACGAGTATATGTGATCCCCTGGCGTGATCAATGCCCTATTGATCCTATTTGAGAGAACACCCATCTCTCACTCTCTGTAAATCCAGAGGCAAACCCTAAAAACTGGAGTCACCCTCTGCAGATCGAGGGGCAAACCCTAAACGAAAGATTTGCTCTCTCAAAATCGAGGGGCAAGCCCTACAGTTGGAATGTCACTCTGCAAATCCAAAATTAAACCTTAGAAATGGAGAGTATCTTTGTAAATCAAGAGGCAAACCCTAGACATGGAGAGCAGCTCTATCCCTCTCTGCAAATCCCGAGAATCTAATCGCGAGAATGTAAAAAGGCAGAGTGAGAAGGATTAAAGAGGGGTTTCAAACTTTCAGAGCGGTACATCTATCCTTACCGATTAAGGAAAGGCTCGATACGTGTACACGTGTCGCGTTTGGAGGAACTCCCGCCATGCTTCAGGTCATGTAATGTGTCTCTGTAAATTGTGCCAAATCGGATTAACTTTTTGGGTCACGGCTATTAACGGGCCCTTTTTGCCCTGCCCGACCCTAGCCCGAAATAGTGCAGGGTCATCCTTGGTTTTGTCTAAACCACAGTTTTAAAAAACGCTCACTTACTCGAATCGCTTTTCTGGATTTACAATCCAGTTCAGCGATTCAGTCTACCAAAATAGTCACTAAAAAATTTAAAATTTGATAAAAGTGGAGCTAGAGAACCAACCAAAACACGCTATCTCATAGGGAAAATGGTCGGTTCCAATATTCAATAGAAACCGCATCGTCCCTTGTAATTCACAACCCAGATCAGCTGGTTCTTATCCAGATCAACATTTTAACCTATAGAAACAAGTTAGAAGTTTCGCCATTTTTTTTTTTTCTTTTTAAATGTTATATTAATAACATGATATTGATAAAAATATTATAAATAATAATATAGTAAACGAGAAAATATAACTATGCCTCGCTTCTTATGCCATGTGACAGAATATTGGGCATTTGTCTCGCGGAATGATTAAATGGATATGAAATTTCTACACAAAAATTTGACATAACAAATTAAGTACGATAGAGAGGATATTATTGTAATTATAGTTAATTCAATTATATATGTATTTAATACTCATAAAATATATTAATTAATAATGTTGTTATTCTAAAAATATATGTTATAGACCACCCTTTGAATTTTGGCAAGGGGGAAAACTCAAAAGCCTACAATCCTAAACCTTAGGGACCACACTAATACAAATGAATCACAGAACTAACTAGACTATATAGTTCACACCCAAACATAGACTAGACTTTAAAGCCTAATAATTAGACAAAGAAAGGTATACGGCTAGGGAAGCCTATGCTCATGTAGAAGAGAGGTTATGGACGTTAGAATCTTGAATCCTAATTCTTTTTGTTTTTTTTAATTTTATTTTCTTCTTTCTTTTGTTTTTAAACCTAGTTTGCCTCCCACCTTTCTTTTCTGGTCCCACTGTTACATAGACACCAACATGGATGTCGTGGGTGTCTAGTACTTTGACTTAAAATAAATTTTTAAATATTGCAAATTCTAATTTGAAGAATGGAAGTATAAACTTTAAAAATATAAATTTATTCTTTAAAAGAAAAGCAAAATCATATTCCATTTATTTCATGCAAAGCAATTGGTAGATCTGTTGAAAAATCTAATATATTTAAATTTTAATCCCATAAAGTTTAATTTGGATTTTAAAATGTAAATTATATTGAATTTATTCATATTTTATTAATATGGTAATAATGAATATACAAACATCAAAGATATGCGTAAGAGATAATATTTTATAAGAGACCTTCTCTTTATGCGTAAGCATATGTATGAGATAATATTTTATAAGAGATTTTCTCTTTCTTTTAAATATCATTTTATTTTTAACTTTTCCGCTTGCAATAAATGCAATGTCCTTTTTATTATTACATTTGTGTTAAATGCAATGTGTTTTTTACTAGTAAATTGTGCATTATTTAAAGGAAAAAAATTAATAAGTGTAAAGCTATAAACAATCAAATTAGGGCACACCTCAAAACTTTCATTAGAAGAGGTGGTTTTGATGCCCAAATATCTTCAAATTAATCATCTTGACACCTTAAGATGAATGTACATGAGAAAAAAAATAGATTTTAAGTTTTGGAAATAATGCATCTTGTAATGCAGTTTTTTACCGTCAAATTTCGAGGCTTTCAAGTTTTCATGGATCTGCTCGATCTACCCTATTTTTGAAGCGTTAAATTTTATAATTAGATATGAATATATATTTTAAGGCTATCTCAAATATTTTCAATGTTAAAATTATATTTTGGATATATTTGAAGGTGTGCTTTATTTTGATTGTTTAAAACCTCCGTTCTATACAAACCGTACCCTTATTTAAATGTAAAAGAGTTCATTTCTTAACTACTGGTAGAATACTTGTTGACTTTACACTTTTTTATAGTAATAATTACAATAGACTTCCTCTCATTACCATCATTGAAGTTGACAGTGTTGTAGTAGAGTTTTTAACATCGGGAAGTTCAAAACCCATTACAGAAAGGGAAAGGTTTATACAGAGCCGAGGCTTTAAACAATCAAATTTGAGCCTACCTCAATACTTTTACTAGAAGAAATTGTTTTGATGCTCAAATATCATCAAATTGATCATCCCGACATCAAGATGCATAGACATGAAAAGAAAATGGATTCTAAGTTTTGAAATAGTGCATTTTGTAACGCATTTTTGGAATATCAATTTTCAAGATTTTCAAATTTTTATAGATTTATAGATCTAAACTATTTTTGAACTTTTAAACTTTATAAATAAAGATGAAAATATATTTTAAGGCTATCACAAAGATTTTCAGTATTGAAACCACATTTCTCTATACTATTTGAAGGTAGGCTCTAATTTGATTGTTTAGAGCCTAGGCTCTCTACAAACCGCACCCTTAAAGAAAACCCAAACCCCTTTTATTTTATTTAACGAAAAAGTTTATATAAAGATGCAACCTTATATTGTAGAACTATGGATGCACCTCAAAAATCTATCGAAAAAGGTAGTTTTAATATTGAAAAACCCTTTGATAGATCATCTGGACATCAAGATGTATGACCATGAAAAATAAAAGGATTTTAAGTCTAAAAAATAGTGCATTTTACAACATATTATGTACACCGTCCATTTTCAAGATTTTCATATGTTTATAGATCTACTTGATTTTAACCATTTTTTAAATTTAAAAATTTATAATTAGATATAAAAATTGATTTTGAGATAATACTAAGAACATTTTACATCAAAATTATATACTATGATAAAATTTGAGGGGCACCTTACCTCTACAGCTACAGATGCATTTGCATGCCAACTACACCATTTATTTAAATAAATAAAAGTATTATGACATTTTTTAGAAGACGATACAAATTGTCGGTACAATAAGTGTCTGAACATGTCAACATACATTGGAGTGTTTGCTTATCCCCTATTCTGATATTAATCCAACATCTTCTGAAATTATCTCTGTATTTTATGATATTGATCCAACATCATCTGAAAGCTCTAATATTGTCCCCTTATTTTATGATATTGATCCAACATCTTCTGAAAGCTCTAATATTGTCCTTGTATTGGAAGATTAGGGAGATGATCAACCAACTACTATTAGAAAGCTCTAATATTGTTCCTATATTAGAAGATCAACCAACTACTGTAGAAAGTTCCAATCAGACACCCCCCATTTGCAAAGCTCTAATATTGTCCCCATATTAGAAGATCAACCAACCACTGTAGAAAGTTCCAATCAGACACTCCCCATTTGCTGATCCTCTAGAATGGTAGACAAAACATGTTAATCCGTTCCACTTGTACGGTTTCCTGAATATGAAACTTTCTTACATCAACACCAAGTCTTTCATGCTTTAGTTTATTCTTATTTTGAAATCTAGACTTATAAAGAAGTTGCAAGTTAGCTTGAGTGGGAATAAACAATGGCAAATGAGTTGAATGTTCTTCATAGAATACATGCTTAGGATCTTGTGCCTCTTTCGAAAGGAAAGAAAGCTATTGGATGTCAATGGGTATATGAATTAAAATGAAAGCAAATGGCAACATTGAACAATATAAAGCTTGTTTTTGGTGGCAAAATAATGTAACCAACAATATAGAATTGTCTTTGTAGAAACTTTTGCCCCAGTGTCCCATATGATTGTTGTTTAGACACTAATTTCTGCAGTATATATATGACAGTGGCCTCTATATCAGCTAGGTGCTATAAATGCATTTCTCAATGGGGATCTTGATGAAGACGTTTCTATGAAGTCACCTCCTAGAGTTATAGATCCTCAAAATAGAGCGTGTAGACTTCGGCGATCTCTATACAAACCCAAACAAGCTCCTCGGGCTTGGTTTGAAAAAATTCGATGCAGTAGTGTCAATAGGATTTCGACAAAGCCATCATGATTTGACTATGTTTATGTTTGAGACTCTTCAAGGAAATTGTTCTATTAATTTATGTGGATTATATGATTATCTCTAGTGATGATGTGGGCGCTATTAACAAGATTAAACAAAAACTCAATCCAATATTTGAAATGAAAATCTTGGGCTTCCTACGCTATTTCTTTAGTTTAGAAGTTCCTTATTCTTCTCATGGTATCTACTCTCTCAGCTTAGGTGTGCCTCAGAAATTGTCCTCCAAACACGCCTAGATGATGATACCAAGTGAGTTGATACCCCAACTGAATTGAATGTCAAACTTCGGTCTACGGATGGTGAACTAAACTTCTCCTTAACCCAACTTTTTATAGACAACTAGTTGGAAAATTGATATATCTCACAATTTAACAACCATATATTAGTCTTGCAGCTCGTTCGGTCAACCGATTTCTGAATGCTCCTCTATCTTTTCATCTAGATATGGTATTGTAAACAATTCATTATGTTAGGGATACTATGCATTATTCTTTTCTACTTCTTCCTCACTTGAGCTTGGACAGTGACTCAGATTTTGCAGGAAATCCGATTGACCAAAAATCCACTACATGATTTTGCATTTTTCTAAGAGATTATTTTATATATTGGAAAAGTAAGAAACAAAAACGTATTGCCCAGTCTACAAATGAAGCCAAAATATATAGCCATGGCACAACTTATCACAGATATTGTTTGGCTTTACTGGTTACTTAGGAACATGGGCCCACACCATTATATTGCAATAATAAGAGTGTTATTTATATTTCAAACAAATCTAGAGTTTTGTGAACGCTCTAAAAATATTGAAGTTAATTGCCACTTTGTTCAACGAGAATATTAGTACGTATTATTTCTCTCCCTTATGTGTCCTCTTCTG